ACCAGTTTGGAAAACAGAATGAATGATTTTTTTTCTGTTGTTAGTAACATGCTCTATGTTGCAGGCAGCTCACCACCGCTGTGGCCAAGGGCTGCTGTAGCAGCCACTCCAAACTGCCTGTCACAGTTTTTGCAAGATCAGCAACTTTGCTCTATTCCCCAGTTGGGAAAGAGCTTGATGAATGGAGAAAAGAATATTATTTCATCCAAAGCTGGGATTTCTTATAAACAGCAGCAATAATAATAACTAGTATTTACTGAGCACCAGGTGCTTCTCTCTCCATGAAATACCTGTAGGGAAAATATAACCATTGTATCTATGCTGTCACATGCCAAGTCATTGAGTGGAAAAGGAGGATTGGGATGGTTCAACAGTGTGTCCAGGCGGCCTTCATAGTGGTAAAGCTTTGGCGTTGGTCACTGGGAGAACAGAAGTGCTTCTGAGGATCTTGTAAACAGAGAAGGATGGCTTAGCACATTGTTGATCTTCAGTCAGAAACCAGGCAGCTCAGTCCCAGCCGGGGATCTTGACGTAGGTCCCTGCATGGTGTGTTCCTATAACCAGATCACTCACAGAATATCTTTTGATCCTTGGTTAATGATTACATGCTGAGGGCAGTGTGATATTTGTTATTGGGTCAATTTAGCCCAGCAGTAAAAGTAGGATGAGAAATTACCAGGGGAGGGAAAAAAAAAAAAAAAAAAACACCACCACCACCCTTGAGCTCACAAAACCCATGTCCAGACCAGCCTTACCCTTCCCAGCTCTGACAAGCTGCTAAGCCTCTCTGAGCTTTCATTTTGCCAGTGAAAAAAATACAGATGTTAATGATGATGACAGCAATGAGTGAGATGATGCCTAACACATTGTAAGCACAAATATTAGGGAACTACACAAAGCTCACACAGAATGTACAGGATGACGGTTTCCAATCACGCATTTCAACTTTTCAGTATCTATATAAACTTTATGTTCCAATGTAGTGTTCCTACTGACCTTCTGAAGCACCTGTTACCTGTTAAATGTTCATCATTGGGAATGTGTTCGATTCTGAGCAAAGGATCATGACTGCCCAACAGAAGTGACAGGTTGTCTGTAGGATGCCAGTGCTCATGCAGTCAGTCCCCTCTCAGAACAGAAAGTGCACTTTGTTTGAAGATGTATTTATCTGAAAGACAGCATCAGAGACAGACAGAAGTCTCCTGTGTAATGCTTCACTTTCCTAAGGGCCACAACAGTCAGGGCTGGGCCAGTCCAAATCCAGGAGCCTGCAGTTTCATCCAGCTCTCACATGGATTTGCGTGGATTTGGGGACCCAGGTATTCAGACCATCTTGCACTACTCTCCTGGAATGGAGGTAGGGCAGCTGTAACTCAAACAGCACACATATAGGAGGCCAGCATTGCAGGTGGCAGCTTTCCCCACTATGCCACAGTGTCACTCCCAGAAAACACACTGTAACATCCCAGGCCAGTGAGCCCTGGGCTTGTTAGCACCCTTGCTCTGGGGACCTTCTGGGTGCCCTGCTGGCACTTGTTGTCAACTGTGCAGTAGGGAGAGGGCCCACCTGAATTACTGAGGGGGCACGAGAGAGTGCAAATGATTCAGGAAGACACAGCTGAGAATGCGGGCAAATGAGAATTTTTCATAGCAAGATTGTTCATTGTGAAGCCAATTCATGATGAGACGTGTGCGTCTTGCCGCACATATTCCACTACACAATAAACCTCTCTGCCGGGATGAATATGGATGGGAGCTAATTTAATCAATATGCTTGTGAGCGTTGACAGTTGTGGTGTCTGACAGAACTCAGCCTTTGAAATGCTGGCTGCGTGAATGTGTGCACTGGGTATATGGGCCAAAACTCATAATTTGTGTTCAAAGCAGCTTATTTTGAGAAGACACAACACTGTCTGGTAGAAAATGGAAAAGCCCGTGGGATGAAAGAGTACAGGGATTTTTGTCCTTCTCTTTGGATTGAAAACTCAAATTTCTGGGACTCAACTGCCTTTCTGTTAACTCAACTGCCTTTCTGTTAAGTGTGCAAGGCATTAACTGCATCGTGTTTTCCTCTCTACTCTGTGGTTCATTCGGATGCTGTAAATGGACTAAAGCGAGGGGGGAGGGCTTATTGTTCATTGTTGGATTGAAGTGAGGGCTCAGTGCCCTGCTCCAGTCTGCAGATGTTTGCTTTCGAGGAATGTCAATACGTGTGACCAGCTCGCCTACAGAGGGTTTGCTTTGGGAACAGGTGGATTTTAGTCATTTCCTGAAGAGCACCTGCACCTGAAATTGTCTTCCGAGATAAGAGAGGCATGCTGGGCTGATGCTGCCAGTGTGATTGCATCTGACCAATCAGACTCCCTGAACGTGCTGTGGAGAAACATTTCCAGCCCCGTTGCTGTGTAATGTCTTTCCAATTCTGATTTTTTTTTTCCAGCCAGTGTTGCCCCACCCCCAGGAGCTAACCCACAGACACAGTGGGGACAAAGGTCCAGGAGAATGGCCAGTTGGTTGGACATGCTCATCTTTCTGTAGTGAGTCCATTCATTCTTAGCTTCTGGGCTCTTATAACTCTTATGACACCTGCTCAGCTAAGGGGTCCTCTCCAGGTCTCAAAGACTCTGGGAGCTGAAATGAGGCTGAAAGACCAAAGGTGTAGGAGCCTGACTTAGGCTAGTAGTGGTCTTATGTAGTAGCAGCATCAAAACGGGGTCTGTGCCACGACCTGCATCCCCATTGTCCCCTGCGCCTCACCACAGGTCCTTCCAAGGGCACACGTGCTGAGCCAGGATGGTCTTCCCAGGGCCACCTCCATCGTGAGCAGACCTCCTCATGGATAGGATTATTCCAGGCACCTTCAGGGCACTGCTCATTGGTAATCCAATCATAGTCTTTGAGCAACAATCGCTCATTGTCAGTCCTATCCGTATACAGCTCGTATGGCTCACACAGACCCTTCACGTCTTCCTAGAGGAATACATGGATATGCTTTATTCTCTGCATTTTTAAAGATGGAATGAGCATAACTCTTGAAAGGCCTGGGTTTAGCCTTCGTGTGGCTTTATTGCCTTTGGATGGTTTTGATATTGACTTAAGTTACAGGATATAAAGACGTTTCGCTGGAATGAGGCAGCAACAGAAACTGTACTGTGTTTGGTTTTATTTCAAATGTGAATTCTGTTTAAGAGCCTTTCCCAGCACCTTGTGTTGCCTGTTGCTCCGTTTCTAAACATCAAAGTGGGAAAGGCTGGTTCTCATGCCAGACCAGGTAATGAACGTGAGGAATACGAGGCAAGAACTCTCCATCACCACCACCTTTTGGAAATTCTCTAGCCCCACTAGCATTCAGGAATTTCTGAGAAACATTGACCCCAACTCTGTTTGCAGTTAGGCCTCAAATCTTTGCCTTCCGATGAGGCAATGCTATTTTTCATTATTTCCTAGGGAATTTTTCTTAAAGCTGTCAGGCTGAGCAGTAACACTGAGGAGGCAGAGCTGCAAGTGACAGCTTTTTTTCAATGCCAGCTCAAGCAGATGAAGTCGCATAACTCAGACTATACCAGACACTGTTGGGGTATTAAAAAGCCTCCAGGTATGGGAAATGCCCCGGATGTGAGGTTGTGAACAATTTCTAAATCTGGACAAGCAAAAAAAAAAAAAAAAAAAAAAACAAAAACAAAAAAACCCTCAGTGTTTCAATAAGACAAATGATAGGAAAAAGACCCTCCGTCTAAAAAAGCTGGTACTCCCGGAAAAGTCACCAAAGTACTTGAACCCAGCAAAATGGGTTGGAGCTACACAGGTTTGACTATGAAGTTAAATCCAGTAGCTTGCGTGTGTTCTTGGGTAAGGGATACAACCTTGCATGAAACCCCAAATCAGTGCAAATTGTCCTGGCATACAGGATTACATTGGAACAAAGTATGGGCTGGGGCATAGCTTTCTGTAAGGTAGGAGAAGCTATATGAAAATGAACAGTTGCCATTGTGTGTGTTGTGTACAGAGTAGATCATCTGACATGATATATAGTGGTGAAGACTATGGAAAATCATAAGTTTGGTGCAATGGAATATTGAACGCTGCCTTCCTTAACACATTTCGGTTTTAGTCATCTCCATTTAACATCACATTGGTTTGCATAAATGATCTGGGTACTTTGCTTGGCCTGTTTAGTGTGTATATCCTCACTTTGGCTTGAACTCTACTTGAGATACAATGTTTTGCTTAGAAAATTGCTTTGTCATGTTTGAGAATGCTGGTGTCACATGGTAATGATTTGGTTAGTCTTCCAGCCTGATTTCAGTAATCAGGTGGCAACAGACATATGCATGCCGAGCCAGAAAATTCGTTTCCAAAATTCAAGAGCTCGGGAACAACATATCCTATTTGTCAGATCATAACTAAATACAGAAAGGATATTAATTTTAGAGTTGGAAGATCTGGTTCATTCACAAATGGATTAAATTTTTAACACATGGCAACAGTATTAATTTTTAAGAAAAAGATGAGAAATTGTTAAGCTCGTCTGTAACTTATTCATGTTTTCAGTTGAATCCTTTTCCTAAGGAGACCTTTTTGGAGTCTTTTCCCCTCCACCAGTTGAGCTACAGTGCTCAGGCAAGACAGATCTATGACCTTTTAGAAATAATGATGGAAAATGAGATCGGAGGAAACATCTTAGGATCTGCTTTGCTCTGAGGCCTGAACTGCGAACTCTCCAGTTCTTGAAGCTTTGAAATGCTGATTCCAGTCTTCCTGTGGGTTCTGAAACACCTTCTCAAATGACCCATTTTAATAACCCAAAAGCTATTATATAACGAGCAGCCATAATTTAGTCCAGGGCTCAAGGGGGACCCTCACAGTTCAGCAATGAATAGTTAATGCAGTATAATGTTTAGCAGGTTATTAGTTTCCACTATACAAATGCTGATCAGGGAACAGTTTTATAAGGTGTTTAAAAGAAAATGTAATTAACTGGTTGCGTGCTTCTGTTGCAGCTCAAATTGAAATTATTCCATGCAAGATCTGTGGAGACAAGTCATCAGGAATCCATTACGGTGTCATTACATGTGAAGGCTGCAAGGTAAGCCTTTTTAATTATTGTTGTTGTTTCTATTCATGTTAGGATGTATCTAGGATTGCTTTTTTTTTTTTTTTTTTTTTTTGCTTTTCTGCTGTCTCAAAATTCAACTCCTTAGAATTATGAGTGATGAGAAATGACAGGAGAAATATTTTGATGTTAAATTATAATTAAGGAAGGCTCTATACATTTTCGTTCCTTCCTTCAGAATAACAAGAGTCTGAGAAGAAGGCACCTGAGCTTTGCTCACATGTGTTCCTTCTAGTCTCAGAACTGGTTGAATGGATGAGCAGCCTCTTCAGCGAGCTTTAGAATACAATGAGTCTTGACTTCAGTGATGTTCCCTATCTAAGCTGTTATTTCTGAGAAGATAACTTCCGTAGGTTTAACTAGAAGGAGATTGAGTCTTGCTGCTGGTGCCCAGATGTTAAGCCATCTGGCCCACTTATGGGAGGGCTGAAAGGAAAAACTGAGTTCCAGCCCTGGCAGCACCACCTAGCTCTATCATTCTGATGTGTAAGTCTTGTAGTGATTCAGTCTGCTCTGCTGTAAGGGGAGCATAGCACCTGTTCTTCCACCCTTTTAGGAACCGTTCCAAGAATGGCCTGGGGAAACAGTAAATAAAAGTCCTTAAGCATGAAAAACAAATGCCCTTGACATATTACTATGTCAATAGTCACTATTTCTATTATCAATGACCTTGATCTTACAGCGATGTGTATAGCCCAGACATCATGGGAGAATGGAAATAGAGATGTTTCTTCTAATAATTCAAGACCCCTTCTCCTAAGCCCCCATGGTCTCTGTTATTCAAATTTCAATTGATTAAGATTTAAATCCTCCTGCTTGTATTGGAAAGGCCCAGAGACAGCTTATGGGATAAAAGCAGTGCAAAATAAATAGGAGAGGAGCTATTTAAATAGGCAGGAGGCCTCTGAGACAGCTGAGTGAGTGCTGCAACCAGGCCTGAATAAGCCTTAAGGCTTTTGGAGACTGAAGCAAAAAAAAAAAAGGGGGGGGGGGGGGGGGAATCCTTGGGTTGGGTTAGCTTTCCTGTAGTGAAACTGGAAAATACTATGTCATAAAGTACAACATCACCTACAGACACAAATAATTACTGAAAGACTTTGGGGAAATCATTTATTTAATTCTTCATTTTATCATTCATCATTGTAACATTTGCTCATTTGTACAAATGCAAATCCTGTCTGTTGATCTCAGTGAAGTTTGAGATTTCCTATGTCCCACCACAGTAAAGTTGAGAGAGACCACTTGCTTTTCAGGCTACTTTAAAGGGGCTTCTGACCTTACTCATCTCAATGGTGACCCTTAAAGGCAAGAAAAAAAAAGTGTGGCTTTTTTATTTCCTTGATCAGCCCTCTTTACAGTCAATGAACTCATTAAATAAAACAAAGTGAAATAAAATGCCTGGCCATGCCATGCCAGGATGACAGACAGAGGGATCCGCCCACTGCAGTGTCACTCCATTGACTTCTGCCAGTTGGCTTGCGTGACAGGGCTGCATGGTTGCCGTCCTTCCCCTGGTAGAGAGTCTTTTCATGAATGTCTTTACAGAGAGTGAAGGGCTTGCCCACTAGCAGTTTCCAGCAGACGCGACTTCTGTGCACTGAATGTCGCGTCTGTGTTGTCTTCAATGCATTTTGAACAGCAGTTTGCTCCTTTCTTCCCAAGGTGCTCCTCACCCCTCTGCGTCACATGTGTGGACTGGTATACCTGGAGTATGAGTCAGGGAGAGAGCAGGATGAGGGGATGACCACTTCCTCTGTGTATCTCGGCAATGGGAAGACCACGTAACAGGATATTCTGTAAAAACAAAACAGACAATCTGAGGGCTATTGTGTTTGCAGAACACAATGTGCGTTTTTTTTTTTCACTGCCCCCAAATTAAAAGTACCAACAAAAACAGCAACTATGAGTCCACAGTTGTCATTTTTGAAGATATCTTCCTAGACCCTGCCGTATGCAAACTCAAGGTCAAAATGATTTCAGTGATCTGCCATTGTCTTCCTCTGCTCTTAATTCTATACAGGGAACTCCACTAAACACAATTAGAAAGTTATTTCCTTAACAGATTGGGTGAGAGTGTGCCCAGCCTGGGACTTGTATAATGTGCTGTTTATTCTTGAAGCACAGAATGTTCTATATAATGTCTTTTGTGGGGACATTTATAATCCTAGTTATGGGGAAGAGACTTCTGCCATTGTTGTTAATTATGTATCTTCAAAGCAGGTAAAGGTGGTTATATCATGACCAATTGTCAAGCATTTATCTCTGTGATAGTATATTTAAAAATGAAGAAAATGTCTAAATAGATCCAACATGTATGTCAAGCTTGAGAAGCTCTTTTTTTTTTTTAAGATTTATTTTTATTGGAAAGGTGGATATACAGAGAGGAGAGACAGAGAGGAAGATCTTCTGTCTGGTGATTCACTCCCTAAGTGAGCACAACGGCCGATCTGAAGCCAGGAACCTCTTCCGGGTCTCCCATGCGGGTGCAGGGTCCCAAAACTTTGGGTCGTCCTCTGCTGCTTTCCCAGGCCACAGGCAGGGAGCTGGATGGGAAGCGGGGCTGCCGGGATTAGAACCGGCGCCCATATGGGATCCCGGGCGTGCAAGGCGAGGACCTTTAACCACTTGCGCCACCGCACCGGGCCCTTGAGAAGCTCTTTGTGTTTTCCACTATCCAGCTCATCTTCCTGTCACGCTCTGGGCCACCTGTAGAGACAGCTTATGCATGCTTGTGCCATGGGCCAGCTGGAGAACTTGGGTACCTCAACTACTCTGTGCCTCACCTTGCCCGTCTGTAAAAGAGAGGCTGGTAATTGGTATTTTGGGGTTTTTAAAAAATATTTATTGGAAAGTCAGATATACAAAGGGGAGGAAAAACAGAGGAAGGTCTGGGCCCGGCGGTATGGTCTAGTGGCTAAAGCCCTCGCCGGGATCCCATAAGGGTGCCGGTTCTAATCCCGGCGGCTCCACTTCCCATCCAGCTCCCTGCTTGTGGCCTGGGAAAGGAGTCGAGGTCTGCCTGCACCCATGTGGGATACCCAGAAGAAGTTCCTGGGTCCTGGCTTCAGATCGGCCCAGCTCACTTGGGGAGCGAATCTTCGGACAGAAGACCTTCCTCTCTGTCTCCTCCTCTCTGTATATCTGGCTTTCCAATAAATAAATCTTAAAAAAAAGTCAGGAAGTTCTTCTCTCTGATGATTCCCTCCCCAAGTGGCCAGGGCTGAGCTGATCCAGGAGCCCCCTCTCTGGGTCTAGGGGTCTGGACCTCTCACACAGGTGCAGGGTCCCAAGGCTTTGGACCCTTCTTCACTGCAAGGTGAGGACTTTATAGTCACTAGGCTACTGTCCTGGCCCAATATAGAAGAGTTCTGGCCCAATATAGAAGAGTTCTGGTAGAGGATGAGCAAAGGCTGTTCTGCTCATGGTGAGCCAACCTGAGGCACCCCAAAATGTCAGTATGAAGAGGGTAAGTTTAGCGTGTCAGAGCAATTTTGAAAAGTCATGCTGAGTATTATGAGTATTCCCTAAAATCCCCAGCAGCCGGGCCCGGCACGATGGTGCAGTGGTTAAGGTCCTTGCCTTGCAAGCCCAAGATCCCGGTTCTAATCCCGGCAGCCCCGCTTCCCATCCAGCTCCCCCTGCCTGTGGCCCGGGAAAGCAGTCGAGGACAGCCCAAAGTTTTGGGACCCTGCACCCGCGTGGGAGACCCGGATTATGCCTTTGTGCTTACTTGGGGAGTGAATCATCGGACGGAAGATCTTCCTTTCTGTCTCTCCTCTCTGTATATCTGCCTTTCCAATAAAAATAAATCTTTAAAAAAAAAATCCCCAGCAGTCTAAGCATTAGCCTCTAGCTACATCAGAGGACTGCAGTGTCCTGCTATTGTAGACCCTGGGGAAGCAGTGGTGAGGGCTCAGGTAATCGGATGTTTTCCACCCATGTGCAGAGAGGATCCGGAGCAAGGCCCCAGCTCCAATCTTCTGGCCCGGCCTGGCCCGGTGGACTTTCAGAGTGTAAACAAACGGTTGGGAATTCTCTCTCAATGTGTTTAAAGTTCATGGGAAATGTGAATTATGAAGTCAACTGTGCGTTTTTTTGTAACAATTATCTGTTATCTCCATTTTTTCCTTAAACTGTTTGAGGGACCCACATAGAGTCAGATGCTATTCCGAGGATATCCAGGGCTCCAGTCTTGATTTTTATGACAAATTAATTATGCAGAAGTCACCACTTAAAATAATATGTGCCCTGCCCTGGAGCCAGGCACTCTGTAAATGCTGGAAGGGATGCAAAGACATGGTAGAACTAACCCTTCCCTCAAGCAGTTCATGGTCAACTGGTAGAGGAGAAGGTTGCCTAGGAAAGTTAAATAGCTTTGTTGGTGCTAAATGATAGAGGAAGCCCAGGGGGGTGAGGGAACAGTGGCTGAACACAGTTCCCGGGCCAGTGCAGAGGCAGCGAGAATGGCAGAGACAAACATCCAGAGACAGAAAAGTCTGGGCTCCGTTTAGGGGACAGGAGCCAATTGTAGCAGAAGGGCGAAGCAGGCAGAGATGTCGCTCCCATGTTGAACAGGAATGGTGATTGGAAAGGCATCATACTCATGCTTTCCACACAGTGACAGGATAGTGTCCCGGCACTATTGAGCCCTGCGTCCTGCATTGCAGAAGCATGTTGTATTAGAATCTAGGCCTGCCTGTGCCTGGCCAGGGAGGACCGGGGAGAAGGCCTGTGATCACCCCCATGGGAGGCAGTTGTCAGGGTTAGGGTGCTGTCTCCAAAGTTGAGGGAAATGTGAATTCTTTCGAGACAAGTAAACATTCTTTTGAGAAACTGTCCTTTTTGCGTTTCAACTTCAGTTTCTGGCTTCATCCTGAGGTACAATGGCTACCAGGTGTCTGTGCTGATAATCACACGTGACCATCCATAGCCTTCAAGGCTCCATGGTTTTAACTGTTTTATAATGGTAATGA